TTACTATAGTGAACTAACCAATTAAATTCTTTAAAAAATTCGTTATAAGCTTATAACGAAGTTGATATCCAGATCCTGGAATTTGTTATATCAAGAGTTCACTGTAGTTTTTTAAAATTCAATAAAGTTTAATCAAGTTTCAAAGTTAAGTAAAAGTCATTTTAAAGGTTTTGAAAAAAAAGTTCTAAATTTTTAAGCTATATATTAAAAAAGGTTTTAAATAGTATTATTATTTGAAAATATAGTAAAAATTTGAAAAGATATGTATTTAAAAAAGGTGTGTATTTATAGACAAAATTTTTATATAACATGAAGTTTATAGAATATATATTTATTAAGAAAATATATAATATATATATTTAAAAAATATATACAATTAATCCCTTTACAGTCACCTCCACTGGATTATACTCTTATAAGAGTGTAATCCAGTTATGTTAAACTGTTACCTAATTACTATTAGACTATTACCTAGTTACTGTTAGACTATTACCTCATTACTATTTTCAGTGCTCTGTAATCTTTTTATTACCTTGTAGCTATCCACTTGTTTTCATTGTTTTGTGGCCTTTTTATTGCCTTGAAGCTATCCGATTAGTATTGACTTTCTACATCTTAATGGATATCAAATTCTATTTTGGGGGTCGTTGGCTTTCCGTAAGTGTTTGGATACCTGGTTTTATGTTGAAGGTGCTGGCCTTCTATGCCTGAATAGATTCTCAATTCTATATTGATGTGCTTACCTTTGTGCCTGCTTGATTGCTTGTTAAAATGTCAAATTGTGATAAAAAAAATGCGTCAGATGGCGCAGTGAATTTGCGATTAATTTTTGTCAGCTCTATGGTATAACTCTGGCTGATCTTTTGGGCATGTGATTTGAAGATCCAATTTAGTGTCATAATAACGTCGTGATAGCGTCCTGGTAGTGTCATGAAACTCTTCTGGAACTGTCATGGATAAAAATGGTATAGCAATTGATTTCAAATTTACAAAATGTTGCAACATAAGCTAAAATTGGTTGCAACATATATAGGTTAAAACTAATTGCAACGTAAGTTGCAACATTAAAAGTTGCAACATATTAATTACAGTTCCCATCTTTAGTTATGGCAACTATAACATGTATTATAAATGATTAGAACTTTTATATTATAACTATTTTTAGATTACAGTTATATTAATTTTATATACATGATTTTATTATACTAATACATTAATTTTTAACTTATATAATATAATGTAATATTATTTTATTAAAGAAACATATTATCACTGAGAATAATTCTTTTTATATTGCACATGTTTTGCTAAATTACTTTACTGTAGCAAGTAAATTCCTTATCATCAGACTTTATAACCTTATGTCTTACAGGTATCCAAAATGCCTTGGAATTACTTTACTTGACTTTATGAATTTAAAGGTTTAGGGACTTAGGAAAAAATGTAGAGAATTTATTTATTCTAAGTGACGAACTCAAAAGCAAGTTTGTGTAGTAGTTCATGATCAAATCCTAAATGATAGATATGTAGAAGGGAAAAGTAATTGTTTTTCAAAGTTGATTTCTTATTTATTACTTGAAACTTATAAGTATTTAAGAACTTACAAGAGAGTTAATTTACAACTTGAGCAAAAAGCTATTCTATTTATACAAAATTAATTTATGGCTAACTAGTTGCTACATTATAAACTAACTAAATTTGTAATTACAGTGCTAATATAATGATAATAATAATAATAATAGTATAACAGAAATAATAATAATAATAAAAATATAAGCGTTATAACAATTATCCGGCTTATCAGGTGGATCCGGTAAATCAGGTAAATCCTAAGAATCCCAAGAATCCTATGGATTCGGAATTATGCAGATCTTCTAATTTGTGATCAACATAAAATTAATTCCAGTAATAATTCCTTTGTGAATTTTTAGCCGGTAACAAATGAATCAAACTTCTAGAATAATAACTGGATATGAATAAATACCTAGAAGTATAAGCTATTACTAGGTTAATAAACCTTTAAGAATGAAACTTTAAATACATAATCTATTCAGCTTTAATTTCTTATAAGAAATTGTCAAAAGTGAATAAAGAAAGACTAATGTTCTTTTGAAATTTAACTTTAAAAATTATTATATCAAGTTATATTATAATAAAAATATTTTATTTAATTGCCTATGTTATTTTTTAATTAAGCTTAAGGTTTATTTTTTATTACCTTGGATCGATTTTATGATAATCTTTGTTATTGATTGGCTTCTAATAATCTTTCAAAAAAAAAATTTTTTTTTCCTAAAGAAAAACAACTATAGTTTAATCTACATATATCATTGTGATTTTAGTAAAAAAAAAAACTTAAAATAATATGATAATATATTCATACTATTTGAAATTTTTTAATTTTTTTTTTTTTTATAACCAATAATTTTCATAATTTTCGCTATGATACTCCTCCGCCTTTACGGCTGATGTATGTTGTGCAATTTATATTTCGTGCCAAGGCTTTTTTTAAAAAAAATTATTTATAAAAAATTAGTTCGACCTTTTTGCGGGAAGTATTTTCTTTCCAATCGATGAAAAATTTATTCTTTAATATTGATTTTCGTGATCAAAATTTTCAGTTTAAAATAAATGATTAAATGATTTAAACCTTTTAATTTCATAAGTATTTTTATTTTGTAACTCATAATAATGTACCTTTATTACATGAAATATACTAATACAACATATTTATATAACAAAAAATATTTATAAATAAATAAATAATGATTACATAATATCTTAAATTATGTATTTAAAAATTACTTCCTGCAAGTTTACCGAATTTATCAGTTAATGTTAATCTCCGATTAGGTCTAGCATGTAAATTTTCTGAACCTGGGATTTCTATAGGAGTTGAATCTGTTAATGTAGAACTTGAAGCGATAGGAATATCTCTTGATATAATTTCACTTCTTTCTGGACTAGACATTCTAACTGATCTATTACTAAATATATTACTAGGACCCCCAGAAGTTATAGGACTTATTGGTGAGACAAGAGTTGAACGACGTCTTTCGGGATGATGATAATAAATCCTATTTGGATTATTAGGATCTCGTATTGCTCTTTTTGTTGCTAATTTGATTTTTGAATCTGCAATTTCTTGAATATGTAAATCTCGTTGAATTCTTTCTTCTTCTGTTTCACCTAATGAGGCTCTTGATGATCGACTTGTAATTGGTTTAGATCCAGTTTTGTTCATTCCCAATAAACGATGAAAAAATCCTGGCGTTGCATCTTCATCTGATGGAACTCTCTTGACGGGAAGCCACAACCATGGAAGGATTCCGACTAATGTTGGAGGTCCATAATTTCTCATTCCAGTGTTAAGCACACCATCATATAAAGACATTGGGGGTTGTGAATAATCTGTGTATAAATCTGGATCCGCGTGATACAAGTCATCCTCTAATACATCACGATGAGAATGTCCTTCTTCAATATCATCTTCATTTTTAGCAGCAGGTGGTCCATCTGTATTAGTGAATTCATTTGCACTTCCAGGAGTTTCAGGAGCCTTTGGCGTAATTGTAACATCTGATGTATTAGTTTGTACTTTGTTTAATTCTTCACGTAATTTCTTCATTGGTATGAAAGCTGAAGCTCTTTCATAAGCACCATTAACATAATAAAAGAAAAAAAATGTACAAACAAGAACTGGAAAGACGCTTGCAGCAAAATAATAATATTTTCTTAATGATAAATATCCAATCATCATTATTTGATAAATGTAAAGTCCAATAATAATTCTTCGGAAAATCTTTGGCCATGCGAGTCCAGCAGTTTCATAAGGATGAAAGTAGACTAGATAAAGTAAAGATTGATTTAGAAAGTTCAAATATTAATAATAATTATTAGTATAGTACATACCATATAAAAGTAAATATTTATAACACATATAACCAAGAAAAAAATAGATGGCTCCAAAAAAAGTAATTATTGGCGTTAGAGAAGAATAAACTATAATAATAACAAAAATCAAAATAACAGGTGGTAATTCCTCTCCGTAATCCAAAAATGGTGGAGCAGTTGCTTTAGCATAATCTCTAGGAGTTTTTGAAAAAAATACTCGCATAGTCCAAGTATAAGCGACTTCTTTTAATTGCAACAAATGAATTGGGAACAAACCAATCCCTTGTATAACAACAAAATTGACAAAAAATGATGAAACCTAAATTTCATTTATATCTATTAGCAATATTAATATGTGAAAATATATCCATAAATCATAATTCTTACTTGAGGCAATGTTGTAGCTAATTTATAAGCAATTCCTGGCAGATCTCTAGAGATTTCTTCTAAATTCTTAACTACTGATCCGACAATGGAAAAAATAAGCAATACATTTATTAACAAGAAAAAGTAGTATCTAATAAAATAATAAAAAAGTTAATAAGAATTGCATAACATAATAAAATTAAAATTAAAATTAAAATTAAGTTATACTTGGCAAATGTCGAAAGCTCGATCGTGCTTCGAGCATGAAATCCTTGAAGTTTAGATAAGACTAGATATTAAAAAAAAATGATTAAAATTAAAATTGAAATGAAAAAAAGGATTTTGCAATAAGTAAATTAAATAAACTTACAAATCATGATTTTCGGTAAAAGTGCATTGAATAAAGATACAGCTAAAGTTGGCAAAGTTCCTTGAATAAAATCTTTTAAGGCTTCATTCTTTTCTGCTAAATGTGCTAACCATGGGAAAAATTTCTCCAAAGTCTTAATACTCAACAGTGATGCAAAAAGTGAAATGGGTCCAGACCAGAAAAATACAAGTAAGAAAATAAGAACGTTAACAATCACATTTCTAACAATCATTTCTCGTGTTCGGATTGACATATTATACCAATAGCTGTGATAGAAAAAAAAATTAAATTCAAAATTAATTAAATTTAATTATACAATTAAAAAAATTTTTTGCTTCTCGTACATATCACGTGGTTCAGGCGCAAGTTCGGTACGACATTTAAATGGTTCTGAATGAATAAGAACTTGTGAAGCTAATTGCTATTTTTTTTGAAAAGAATATAAGTATTAAATTTCGACAAAAAAAAAGAAATGCAAAAAAACTAAATAAATATTTACTGCACTAGTTATGTTTTCGAAGGTCACAAATCCGATAGATGAAGTTGAATAAGCCCCCTGTCTTCCAACTTCAACTAAATTATCGTATTCAAAGTATTTTTGGGTATAATATTCAACCTTATCAACCTTATCACCAAATAATGACAAAAGTTTTGTTGGTCGCTTTGCTGAAACTTTTGAAAGGACTTGGGCTGCATTGTCGTTTGCAGTTTTTGCATCATCAGCCTTTTCGAATCCCTTTAATGCTTCTTCGGGTTTATAATTTGGATCCTTACAAGGATTATTTAAATAATCCACATAAGCCTCTTCTAATTTTTGTAAATACTTTGCTCTTTTTCCAATTGCGTGTCTAAGTTTACGAACATTACGATAAACTACTGCACTTTCAACTGCACCAAATCCCAATGACTCATAAAAATCAGCCAAAGCAGGATCGTTTTGTAACTCTTTAGGTATAACTGTCACCATAACAGTCCTTGCAGCTATAGTATCTTTCCATTTTAAATAATATTTATGTCGTATATTAGAAAACTCTAGATAATTATAAAAAGTAAAATAAAAAGTCGCAAGAGAAAAAACCCAAGTTAATATCACATATGATGCCAGTTCTCCGGCTGTCTCGGGTGTTTCATCTATGGGTTGAGGATTTGGACCATTATCAAAGGAATTTTTCCCATCTTTATTGCCATCCGGGAAGAAATCAAGATATTTAGATAATTTAATAGGACCAACTACAACAAAACCAACGATTGCACAAAACGTGAAAAGTTTATATGACATCTTAAAAAATGCCAAAAGCTACAATAAGATAATCAAAAGTTAGAAATTTTTTCCCCTAAAAAAAAAAAAGTAACCAACATACCACTGCAGCATCCAATCCAACCCTTTCTAATATATGAGATTCAGGCATATTATACAAAGGAATTATCCAACCGAAAAATGTAGTTGGAAGAGGGTCAGGAGCAAGCTTTTGAAGCCTACTTCTTGGAGCAAACATTGCATTCCATCTTGTTCGAAGGTAGCAAAATACTAACAAAGATATAGCTCCTAATGGTATTGCGACAAGAAGTTGTGTCGTTAAAAGAGCAGTGCTATCTATATAAATTAATGAGATTGTTTTAGTGATATTTGAATTAGGATTATGGCGGATTAATTGATATTTTACTCACCCGCATCTTCTGCTATATTACCAGGAGTTTTTTTAGGTGGTGGATCTGGTATACCGATACCACCGCCAAAAATTATTTGATTAAAGTCACCTGAAGACGTAAAAACATCTTGCTCATTTAAAAATTCATGAAAATTATTCTTATCTGCCATTTTTTTTTTTCAAAAGATTAAAGTTATTCATGTTATATAGATGGGTGATCAAAATTGTTGATCGATTTTATGATAATCTTTGTTATTGATTGGCTTCTAATAATCTTTCAAAAAAAAAATTTTTTTTTCCTAAAGA